CTATCATCAACACATCTGAAGATGCGGTGCCAGAGTACACCGTCGTCGTCGAAGGATATGGTCTCCGTGCCTGTATCGGAACTGAAGGTGTCGACGGCACCAAAGTCAAATCTAACAGTGTCATGGAGATGCGTGATGTCCTCGGTATTGAAGCCGCTCGTTCCACAATCGCCAACGAAATTGCAACCGTTATGGCAGACATGGACATCGATCCTCGTCACATGCAACTTCTTGCCGATGTCATGACGTACAAGGGAGAAGTCTTAGGTATCACACGTTTCGGTCTCTCCAAAATGAGAGATAGTGTGTTGCAACTTGCATCCTTTGAGAAAACACCAGATCATCTTTTCGATGCGGCCGCGGGCATGAAGACGGATAGAATCGAGGGTGTTAGTGAGTGTATCATCATGGGACAGACAATGGGCGTTGGTACTGGTGCATTCAAGGTTGTCAGAGCATTAGATCTTACCTCGGAGGATCTAAAAGTAAAGCCAACGCTTTTCGAAGATGCATGGAAGGTGGATCAAAGAGAGAGAATAAAACTGAAGAGAGCAGCCATGAGTTGAATTTACGATAATGTGGAGACATGGTGATATGATGGAGTTTATTGGCGAAGATTGGGTTACATACTTGAATGAGAGATTGGGGGAACTTTCCACATTTTGGTGTTGTTTTGAGCGCGAGCTTGTCTATACAGTATAATACCCAGCAAATTAAAAAAGTATAAAATCACAATGTCCCAAGTGATATATAGATTTCCGCTCAATTTCATCATATAGATTGATATCGATCTCCAAACTCGAATCCAAATCCCAGTGGTATGAATGTTCCAAGTGAAGTCAATATATCAAAACATAATTTACAATCCAATATAACCGTTCTGTCGTCCTGACATTATTAGCAATTTAACCTGTCCATGCTATGCCAATCCTATTATGCATGTATACCATTACCCCATCCACTAAACCCATATTACCAAATCCCCCCGTCCGATGCTCATAACCATAACCATAATCATAACCCATAAAAAAAAAAGGAAGCCTTATCGAACCCTTCACTACACAAGTTCAAACACTCCACTCACCCCCTCAAACGGCGTAATCGCGCCCCCCACCGCCTTGGAATCGCCAAAATATCTAATGCGATATCGACCCTTCTGAGCCCACTCCTCCGTCTCCCACGTAATAGTTACTTCGCTCGTGCCCAAAATCTCGCTTACTTTCTTCCACGCGAATATAAGGCTCCAATCGCTATCGTCGCGAACTCGGACCCATTTAGAGGTATCGGGGATGAACATTTCGATAGAGGCATAAGTTGATTCGAGATGGAGGTTATTGCGTGGATTGGCGCCGATGAATGTAGCGGTTATGATGGGGGAGGAAGAAAGGGGATAGGAGGGGGAAACGTCGGTTTTGATATCACCGTAGGAGGTGAAGATGGGGTGGCCGTCATAGACGACGCCGGTTATGAAGGAGAGGGATTTATTGACGTTGTTTGGAGGGAGCGGGCCGGGTGGGGGTTGAGAAACGGAGGTTGGACTGAGGAAAGGGAGGTGGGAGAGTGTGAGGTTGATGTAGGCGTTGAGGGTGTAGGGGCCGTAGAGAGTAGAGGCGCCTTCGTAGCGTTGGATCCCGTATTCTTCGGGAGTGGCAATGTAGTGTGTGTAGCTATTAGCTGGGCCTCCGATGACCACGATTGGGTCTGGAGAGGATGAGTCGGAGAGGATGGTTGATGCGGCGGAGTCGTGAATGGCTTCTTTCCAGCGACGACCGGACATCGTTGTTGCTTCTCCAGGACTGACAATGATGAAAAGTTGTCCGACTCGAAGTAATTGCACATCGACTACATTGGGTGTCCACAAATAAGGTGTTGTGATCTCGCCAACGTCAAGTAAAATAGGTTTGGGGTAATGGCAACGCTGTTGTTGCTTGCTTGGTGCCTTAATGAGACCGGAAACGACACGCCACACGGGCGAAGCATTTGGTGTATTGGGATCATTTTGAGTGAAATCAAATGCACCTGGCCCATCAGAGGTTCCAGCCGCGAAGGAATACCCCAAAGCAGCTGGACACGTATGAACGTAACTTCCATTGTCCAAAGGAAAGGAAAAGTTTGACATATCTTGAAATGTATGGAACGATTTCACGGACGATCCCGAAACAGCAGTCAACTTTGTGTCAGTCTCGTCGTACAATTTCTTAGCAGGCTGGAATTGCCTCTTGCCAACTTCGTAGCAAGACGATGCACCATTATCCTTTACGCGGAAAAAAGGTCCACGAGCATGGCAGTACTGGCTTTTACCATCACTGCACGTGCTGTTTTCAAAACTACATTGCTGCCCGGAACCGTCTTCACACCAAGCACCAAGAACATTCGGGCTTGTATCACCAACATTGGCTTGCGAGAACCCGGCTACAAAACCTTCAGCTGCATTGTCCTCCTGAACTACACTCTTTTCGAAGAGATCTGCAGCGACACCTTTGTTATCTCCCGAGATAAGAGTATTGTTCCCCAGCATTGACGTTCCGTGTGTAGGAAACCATGTCAAGACCCCAATATTCTTCCCGTCAGAAGCTCGTGAGAATTTCAAAAGAGTGAGGTCCTTCTCGACAGATCCATCATCCTCAGTACTAGTATTGTACTTTGCTCGTTCCTTTTCCGGATTTGCCAGATAGGCATATAAACTTCGATTGATATTGGCCCCAAAAACTTTCGTCGAACCGACATTCAGATATCCAGGTTGAAGGCTGGTATGAGCTCTTTGGATAGACAAAACAGCTCCATCTACTATAGCCTGATAGCTCTGTTTACTGAATCCTTTGCTAGTGATTTGGGGTAGTAGATAATTCAGCCATGCCCCGGGACCAGAATGAGAATGCGTGCCTGTCACGGCTACATTCTGTTGTCCGTACACTGCATAATCACTACCTAGATTTGCGAGACCTTCCAGTATCCCATATCTAACAGCAGTATCTCCCGACTGTGTATCCAGAACGAGATAGACGAACCGGTCTTCCGGCCGGTCGATATCTCCTACAATAAAGGCTCGAGAATAGAGGCGTTGTCGTAACCCCGATCCAACTTGCTTGGTATCTGCATATCCCATCATATTTATTTCCACAACTGGACTAATAAGTGTTAGTATTGTATCACTATATTGAAATGCAAGATTCGTACCCAGTGATATCTGCTTTTCCAACCCCCAGTAAATACTGGCTCCCCTCTGAACTACCATGCTGTTGATTGCCAATATTTTTGTCATCCCCATCCGTCCATACCCAAAGCCCCGTTCGCAAAGATCCGCCATTGAAAGAATCACATAAACATAATATAGTTACAACAATGACAATTGATCCAACGACATTCATCCAAAATCGATTTGGGCGGGAGTTATTCTGTCTATGCTCACGTCGGTTCTGGTCGAGAAGACCGATCTTCATTTCCGGATCCCGCTCCATAGTTTCAAAGCAAACAATACTTTACAATTTTATTTTGATGATAATATAGTCCCTATGAAGTATGGGAATGTCAATACATCATCCCATGGTGAACAATGTAGAGTTGGTAGCTTAAAGCTTGAGGCGGGAGTGGCGGCTGGTTGCTTGGTTCCCAGTCCAGTCCAGTCAAGCTCCCTTAGTGGAGCAAGCCTGGCGCGCAAGGCAAACCTTAAGCTTCTGGGCGTGTTTGACTTGCACATGAGAAATTTATATTTATTATATCGAACAAACAAACACATCAACTTTTTCCAAGCACTTATATTCTAATTTCAAAATTAGTTGCTACGATCTATCACAATCCGTCTATATCGGGAATACCTAAAAGCACAAAAGGAAAAATACAATCTCGAATTGGTGCTTATACAAATTTCAACCAAATCTCAAGCTCCCTCACATCGAATACCTCGACCTCATAATCCATCACCCCAATCCTCGAACTTTACTCCAAACTCCACTCCAAAATGCCTCTCATAAACGAAATCCACGAATCCCTCCCATATATCGACATCGAACCTACCCCCTCGGAACGCGCCGCCGCCGAATCCCTCATAACCAGCTCGCTCGAGCCCAACTCCCCATCCACACCACACCCCTCTCTGCCGGCTCTTCTCCCCTCCAATCTCTCCCCCGCCCTCACCGCAGAACACGCTCGCATATCCTCTGCAACCCCTCCAGCCCCTCTAAAAGCCATCGACCTAACCCGCTACGAAACACTCTCCCCCGCAGATTCGACGCTCCCAGCTCAGACGCTCCTCTCCCAAGCCTACACCTCTCAAACCTATTTAAATACGCGTCTTACCAATCTCTCTCTCCTTGATCAATTTGGGAAAAATGCTTGGTTGATTGGAAACGCGCAGTTGGAGGATATATTAAAGGGGTTGGAGAGGGAGGTCGCCGCAAAGAAAGATGAGATTGATCTTGTGGTAATTGGGAGGAAGAATGCACAGGAGGCGGCGGAGGCGGAGATTAGGGGTCTAGAGGAAGGGTGGAAGAAGGGCATCGGGAGGGTGTTGGAGACAGAGGTGGCAGCTGAAGGTATTAGGAGGGAGATTTTGGACAGGAGAAGAGCAGGTGCTAGTTAATTCTGAATTGGGGGCATGTAAGATATGGGATAGAGAGGAGGGAAATGGGATGAAATTACTCGCCGGGCTCTGGTTGAGACTACATGATATCTGAACAGCGAAGGGTCGAATGTGGACAAGATTCAGTACCACTGTTGAGATGTTTATATCTACGGTTTTGGTATCCTTGAGGTTACATCACAAGATTATGATTTGAGACATCAGAATAAAAGATGCATGGTGTAAAACTAATTAGCATTCAAAAGCAGTTCGCTAACAGCATCAATAATACAATTGCAAAGTGATTGAAAATCTGACTCTTGTCTGCATCTCAGGTATTGCCCACTAATAATCCCTAGTCCATTTGATCATCTCATGAACGAACGTAACCTGTATCTGAACGCCATCAAGTAAAACGAATCCATTCCAAACCAACAATCCTTTAGTTCTGGTGAAGGGGATCAATGCTCTCCACGCCCTCATATTTTGTTCTTCTCATAATACTTTCAACCGGTCCCAATAACCTCTGGAACCCGTTTTTGCCAAGGGTAGCTACCTTTACTTCGGTTTTGCTAACGACACTAGCAGCTCGGGGAGCATCATTTAGTAACGCCAATTCTCCGAAATAGTCTCCCTTGTGGTATAATTTTACTGGGTTATCTACACCACGCTTGTATGCTTCGGCCTCTCCACTCTCAAGAAGATAGAATGCCTCTCCGGCATCTCCTTCATTTATGATCGAAGTACCAGGTGGGTATTTCTGTGTCTCCAAAGCATCAGCAATTTTCGACCTTTCATAACGGGTCAAAGTTGAGAGAAGTGGCACTTCTTCGAGGAAACTTTCATAGAGACGACGGCGCTGGAATGTTGAATCCATGAGAATTCGGCGGAAAGTTATACGATCTAAAGCCCAGAGAGTGCAGGAAGCCTCTGCAGATATAACTGTGGCTGCTCTGGGGGCGTTATACATGAGGGCGAGTTCACCAAAGGATCCACCAGGCTCAATGGTGGCTACCTTGGTCCCGAGACCATCGGGACCTGGTTGCAGTGAGCCAGTGGAGTTGACATGTACGTCAAAGGAGCCTTTCTCGACTACGTAGAAGAAATCTCCCTGATCACCTTGCGAGATGACCTAGATTAGATTAGTGGGGTTCAAAAGGCTCAACAATTGAAGCTACACATACCTTGATACCAACGGCAGGAATTGGCTTCTCTACGAGAGCACCTAGTACTTGAGCGCTTTGTTCGTCATCAAGATGGCTAAAGAGAAAGTTTCCAGAAATTGACTTCTTCAAGCGTGCTACTTGATCCGGTGTTTTTTGATGAAAGGGTGGAGACCAGTTATCGTTGGATGAAGCTGTTGGGTTGAGAGATTCGGCTGAAACAGAAGTGCGCCTTCCCATGCCGTAATGCTCGGGAAATCCTTCGCTCGCAGGTTTGAAAGAAGATGGTGGAAAGTCTCCGGTACTTGCATCTCCTCCGAATGAAGCTCCGAAAGAAGGTCCAAACGAAGCTCCAAACGAAGGGACTCCCTTTGAGAATCCAAAATTTGGTGTTGTTGGTGATGTTATCGTATCATTTTCATCCTCCTCTATGACTTTTGAAATATTGCCGGGAACCGCTTGTTCATGTCCTAAACCATTTCCATCACCACCAAAAGGATTGGCGTGAGTTCCAAGCCGACCAGGAAATGTGTTTCCAGCCATTCTCGGCCGATTTGCTGTCCCTGGTGATACGGAACGATATGATCTATTGCGAGCTGACAGAAACCCAGTGCGCTCAGTTTCTAGGCGTTGACTAAAATAGTTGGCACAGAATTGTAAAATATCGGTAGGCTGGTTTCTAATAATTTCTTGACTGAGAGACTCGATTTCGGTCAAGTACACCGACGGTAGTGACATTCGAACTCGTTATGCGAGGTAAACAGCTCAATGCTTTGTTTACAGACTAGTGAAGATTCATAGAATTGCGACAATGTAATCGAGTGAATCGAGAAGAGGATTCCACGGCAGATAAGGCGGAATTGAGAAGGAGACGACGGATGGAGTTGGTGTAATCTATATGATGGTAAAACAATTTAGTGAGAGCTCATGAGAAGTGCATGCAGCGAGTCAATGTGAAGGGAGCGTAAAGAGAACATGCCACTGACAGCTAGAAAGTTGATGGAAATGATTGATGTATCCAGAGCAACTTCCTTTCTATTGTGTACATACAAGCTTCAGTACTTTGTGCTAGAATTAATGAATCCACGGGGAAAGTGGAGTAAAGGTAAACACCTACCAGGACCTTATTGAATAGGTTGAGCTTTGAGTCCGACCTCTCTATATTGGAACGAGACTCTAACGAGGTAGGAGATGAGATGGTGTTGGTGTGATAGAAGGTTGCGAGCGTTGAGATGATAATTGAAATGAAGGGAATTAAAAGGAGTTATTGGGGAAGAGTTATCTAGAGAGACTGGAAGGAAGGTACCGGTATCTTGATCGACAAGGCGAGGGGAGGGGGGAAATGGCGAAGCTCTTGCCTACCGTAACAACCCTTCTCGCTTGGATGTGGGGGAGGGAAGCGGTAGTGAGATGGAATAAAATTGATTGGTTTTTGAAGCTTCGATGAAAAGTTCGAGAAGAAACCTAGAAGGAATTGAAACGATCCGAAGGAATAATGCTTGCGGTTTGGGTGCGGCAAGGTAATCTTCTTTTATGTACGCAGGAGATATGGGAGCTCGGAGGTATATATGTAAGTATGTACTAGGTAGGGAGGTATGTATGTACTAGGTATGTGTGCGAAGATGGATCCGATGGATGATCAAGTCAAGTCAATAATAACAATAATGATAATAACGATGATACTAGGTCGGTCGATGTGTAGGGGAGGTATTCCCTTGAGAAAGTTGAACAATGGTATATATGATAACAAGGTCAATATTGAACTCTCTCGATGTCTCTCCCTCGACCTAGGTAGATGATACTTTGACAAAGCAAAGGGTCCAGGAACAGATAATAGACAATGTATTGGATGAATAAAATGTGTTGGAAAGCGTTCCCATCTTTTTTATCGATATTTGGTCAAATACTTCTTATATACGTGGAGAGAGGAAAGATTGGCGTCCAAGCTGTGAGAACATTCATTTCAATAGCTTTAAATATCAGACATTTGGATTTGCAATGAACAAAGGCTGTATGATTGGTATTGCTCGATTGATGGTCTTAGTCGTGGTATCTCCCTCTCCTTCTTCTTCTCCTTATTCAATTTGCTGTCAGTGATTGAGATTAGTTCTTGGTTCGATATGGAATCACCCTAGATAGCCATTCATATTCATCATCCAAATTTGATTGAAACAAAGAACCATGACTTTTTCACTGAGAGCTCAATCTCCGATTGTTTGCGACCGACCTTCTATTGAAATATTTTACTAGGTATTTATTGATGTGATTCTTTGTATTGGGTGTATTGGGTGTATTGGGTAGCTTTGGCTTCTTCTCTCGTACGACTCATACAACTCATACAACTCATCTCAGATAATCATGAATGACATGCGGAGGGTTAATGAATGTCTTTTAAATCCCTCGTATCCATCAACACTACCTAGGCGAGCTGGGTACATACATATCTACAGATGATCTGATAGACTTTCCACAACTATCGGACACTTTGATACTTGGATCCTTTGATACTTTGTGCGTACAAGCACCAAGCACCGATTAAGGGGTTGAGAAAACGTCATAGTCACAGCAAGAAAAGCTATCCAAATGCTTACAAGAGAGTCGATGCCTAGTACCTTCGTATACCTAGGTAGGTGTTAGCTTCGACTGTACGGAGGAGAGGATTCATTGATTGATTTTCTTGGAGGGGGGAAGAGGGGGGTTTTGATGGAGAAAGATGTAAAATCAATAAAGTAATAAAGTAATAAAGTAAAATAAAATATAACATTTGCTACAACCTACTGAGTTACCTACTACCTATGTTAAATGCATACCGAGTACCGAGTACCTCCTTCATACATGAGCAAATCTTGGATTCTCATATCGTGACTCGAGTGTACTACATAAAGGGGCAGTCGGCTCCAATTGAAGCTCATGATACTCCTCACACAATCATTGATAAGTGAAATAAAGTTTCCATCTAGTGGTAGTACTGGTGTACCTATGATAGTACTACATAATAAAAGTAGCTAGTAGCTCGCTCCAATGAGTGACTGATTCCTTTGGATTCCCCGCAATAACAAGGCAGAAGCAATTAATAAATAATAAATAAGAGTCCTCTTCTCTCCCTTCCCTTCCCTTCCCTTCCCTTCCCTTCCGGTCGGTGATTAAAAGCGGCATCACCGGTCGTTCTATCAAGAATCCGATTGTCCAAAGTCTTCGTACTTACTAATAAGTGCTTATTAGTTTCGGATTGCCCCCTTCATCAGAATCGTCAGGATCATCACGAATGAAAGCTTCAGCCAAGTTCACCATGCTACTAGGGAACTCTAACTTTCAAGTTTTTGCCCCCTTCATGACACACACGGCCTAGTAGGTACCGGGAGGGACTAGGTACTGTGAAAGGGTTTCTCCCATGAAGCCCTACACTACTGCTCTTTACGTATAAGTGATAGCGTTCAAAGTGAAGGGCTATCTATCTATCTATCCATCCATCATGGAAAGTGGTCTCATCGAGCTGTCGAGCTGTCAAGCTGTCAACTGTCAAGCAGTCAAACACTCAAGCAGTCAACTGTCAAGCAGTCAAACATTCAAGCAGTCAAGCATTCAAGTAGCATAGAAGAACTTTCAGGTTTTTGACTGATAGATGCAGTACCAGCTACTATGTATTGTAATCAAAAGAAAAACTTCAAATAGAAAATGGATAGGTGCATACTCTTCTATCTCGAGTCTGTACATACAATGTCATACATGCATGATACCCGGACTATTTGACATTAACCACTTTAAATTACCAGCCAGGTATTTCATGAGCCACTTTTAAGGAATTGGACGTCTCCAGGGCTCTCTGATGAGGCAATCAAGCATATTCTTGCATATGCACTGCACACAGCCAGCCATCAATAAGGATAGGTAGCATTGGCATTGATAACAAAAGAGCTTAGTTGTGCTTGTTCGATCGTTCTATCGTTCGGTCACATCCATCAGAAAGAAGAAGAATAAATAGCAACACTTCTTCTCATTCACGCTCATGCTCATGCTCATGCTCATACTCATCCATCCCTAGGTGCTCACTCATAATCCCTCCTCTCTTATCTCTCCGCCAGCCTCCTCATTAGCAATTGATTGGATAGCAAAGAAGAAGAATCCCATGAAGACCATACCATATCTACCGTACCGTACCGTATTGTCCCTACTACCTCCTGCTATCTTTCTCACCACATTTTATTCCATTGTATAAAGAGAATCTCCGAGTGGGAAATTCCTTCCTTCTCGATTCACTCCATCCAGTACCATACAGTACCGTACCGTAATAACCTTGGAAGACTCGCATATCGCATATTTAAAATTAGATTAAAACTTGGGTTATCAGTGATATCTTCTTCCCTTATCGAAAGAAACAAATCAATTAATACTCCAACAGAGTCAAATTCTCAAAGTCAAAGTCAAAGTTAAAGTCAGAGTCAGAGTCAGCGTCAGAGTCAGCGTCAGAGTCAGATCCAGAGTCAGATCCAAATCCAAATCCAAAGTCAGATCCAGATCCAAATCCAAATCCAGCCAAAAGTCTTCATCACCTACCAATACCTACCAACTTTGTACAAAGAGCTCATCTATCGTCCGTATCTGTAACCGCACTGAACCGTTTTTTGCGCCAATCCCAGATAATTTCCGACCACCAACTTCTACCCTACCACCTACCACCTACCACCTACCACCTACTACCTACTATCTGCTACCTACCCTACTACGCATAACACAATCAAATCTCAAAAAGGTCGAATCTTAATTATTCCACCTTCAGCTTTTCTCCTCGACATCCAACAAAACTTCGTCTTTGATTCATCATTTTCATTTATTTATTACCCACGATAGCTTCACCTACATTATCTCTTCTTGTTTGCTGAATACCCTATACCCATCAAAATGGGAAGCTTTGTTTTCAAGTGGTAAGTTTTTTGCTTTTTCTTCTTCTATATTTATATCTTTCTGGAAATCATCGTTTCAATTGTCCAATGACAAATTCGAGGTTCTGAGGAGACTCCTCTCTTCTGCATTTCCGATCCCCCATCACCTGCAACACATACCAGTATGCGCAAGAGGTTCTCTTCACAGTGGCACAAATCTTCATCAAGCCATACGTGATCAATTTGATTCTTTCAATCGCTAACCAAATTGGTTCTCATTAGGGAGCATCCTGCGGAAGAGGTCTATGTTACTGGAACATTCGACAACTGGTCCAAGAGCGAAAAATTAGTAAAGAACGGCGATGTCTTTTCGAAGGATGTCCAACTGGCAAACGCTGGAGAAAAGATTTATTACAAGGTGAGCCTATTATGACGGATGATTTGGATGCGATATTGGAATTTGCTTTTATCGGCGACAACGATCGTGGCAACAATGGCCACAATGATTGCGACATGGTCGAAATTGAAATCGAGGTCGCTCGTCAAATGCGCCTAGTGATTCAAATTCCCACTCTCGAAGCATGCGTCAAAGTGAGACTTGCAGCTTTAAAAAAATTCCTCCACTTATGACGCATAAAGTTGATTTTGCCAGGCTTCGAAGTTGGCAAAATTCACTCCCAAAAATAATCAGGCCTGTTGCTTGCATGATTAATTGTACACGCAGGCTAGGTCCCGCCTATTCCCCAACCCCGCTTGTTTGTTTGCTTCAGCTATGTTCAGCTACCGGCCTTCTTTTAAAAATATAGCCTGACCCATCTTCTTCTTTTTTTCTTCCTGCCGTTTTTCTCGAACTTGGTCGATTTTTCACAATTTTTCACAAAGCTAATCGAATACCACACAGTTCGTCGTCGACGGTAACTGGGTGACAGATCACACCGCTCCTCAAGAAAACGACGCATCGGGAAATTTAAACAACGTCCTCACAACAGATAGAATTGTCAAACATACACCTGCGACCGCTGGAATTATGTCTGGCGTTGCCCCAACCTCCACTACGTCAGAATTGGCAAAGGATGTTCCTCTTGAGAAAGAGAAATCCCCACTCGCCCAAAATGGCTCTTCAGATTTGCCTGGAGCATTTCCCGAAACTCCAGCGGCTGTAGAAACTGGTGATTTCTCTGTGAATCCTCTGCCCGCTGCAGATGGTGCTGTCAATCCTATCAAACTCGCACCAGGAGAGAATGTTCCACATCCAAGCTCTTTCACCACCAACGATATCACTTCTGGCGTGCATGATGATCCCGAGCTTGTCGCTGCAGACAAAGCCAAATCCGAAGCCGAGTCTACGTTTGGTGTCTCACCGCTCCCCGCTTTTGCTGGTGGAGTAAACCCTATAAAACTTGCGCCTGGAGAAGAGATCCCTAAATCAAGCGACTTCACTACCAACACCATCCACTCAGCTGTTCGCACCGACAAGGAATCATATGAAAACAGCGACGCATTGGGCCATGCTCCCATCCTTCCTCCAGTTGTCACTCCTCAGGCGGAACGCGAGCTTAATGGTACTGGAATCCTCGGTTTGTCTTCTTCAACCAAGAACTTGATTCCTGAATCAAGCTTGCCAACTGGAGTCGATGAAGCGGGAACATTCGATGCGACAAACCCAACCATCCAATCTGCCGGTCCTCAAACCACAACATCAATCCTTGCCGCCAAGGTTCCACTCGAATCGACAAAGGTGCCAGAAGTTGTCAAGGAGAGCCAAAAGGAGGCAGGATTTGCTCCAGAGGCCAGCGCAATTCCATCCGAAGTTTCTGAGAAGAGCGCCGTTGAGAAGGAACTTAAGAGGGAAGTTGGTGTTGCTCCAACAACTTCCGAAGGAATTGCTGGACAAGGAACAACCAAGACTGAAAAGACTGTTACTGCAGGTGAGGCTGCCGCTGCTGTTGGAGCAGCTGCCATCGCTGTAGGAGGTGCCGCATATGCTGCTGCTTCCGCTATCCCAAGTAAGCTTCCAGAGAGCGTTACAAGCATTCCAAGCAAACTTCCAGAGACCGTTGCAAGCATTCCAAGCAACCTTCCAGAGAGCTTGACCAGCAAGTTGCCAGAATCTGTTCAGCAGTCCATCAAATCGGTCAACGCCACCGGCACTGTTGACCAAACAACTGCCAAGGACACTCCAGAAATTGTCAGAGAATCAATTGTTGAGTCTGGTCAAAGCCCAGAAGCTGCTGCTAACGAGGCAGCTGTTCTCGACAAGAAAGCTGTTGAGGCAGAATTATTGTCCGGAGTCAAGCCCGAGACATCCACTGCCAAGGACACCCCTGCGGTTGTCAAGGAGTCAATTGCTGAATCAGGTCAAAGCCCAGAGGCTGCCGCCAACGAAGAAGCTGTCCTTGACAAGAAGGCCTTCGAGAAGGAATTGTTGTCCGAGATTAAGCCTGAAAACTCAACCGGTGAACCTGCACCAAAGATTGACTCGACAAGTGCTGTTGAGCCTTCTGAACCTGCTGCTTCTACTGCCCCAGTTGTCACCAGTGGAGTCACTTCCACAGAGGTTCCAAGCACCTCTGCTGCTACTGTCCCAGCTGTCACCACAGGGGTTGAATCCACCAACGTTCCCACCATCTCTGAACCAGCAGCAACAGAAACAAAGCCAATCGATTCCAGGGATGTTTCACCTCACACCAGTCCCGCCACCGGAGAAGACGCAGCACCTGTTGTTACCAGTGGACTGGGTTCTACAACAGTTCCCGAAACTTCAGGTTCTGCTCCAGGTACTCCTCCAAAGGAGAGTGCTACCTTGACCCCCGCAAAGTCCTCTGCCGAATCCGCCACTCCATCAAGCACCAACGCCGCAGACAACTCTGCCGCGGCTGACAAAAAGAAGAAGCGTACTAGCTTTTTTGGCAAGTTGAAGGCAAAATTCCACAAGGAATAAGTGGGTGAAAGTAGTGGCTGGATGAGATGGTTGTGGTAAGACAGACACAGCGATTATACTCTGGAAGGCACACCTTTTTCCTGAACTGTAAGATATTACCAGATCCTTGTTTGCCTTGTCCCAGGAGTACGTAATGTGGAGGAAGGGGTTTAACGTGGGATAAGCGTAAATGAGAAGGAGAGAGTGTGGATTGTGCTTTTTGATACCGGCTGAGTACCCTTGCCCGCCCTTGTTGCATTGAATTTTCTAGTTCCCGTTTTACAAAGTTACAAATGGTTCTCTTGACTTCGCCGACATTCTGGTGTTAGTTGGTATTTAGTCTAGTTAGTGATTGATTGATGATGATGGGTTTGGTCAATTCATGAAAGATAAATTGTGAGTGGAGGAAAGCAAGCAAGCGTACCACTTTGGAAAATTGTAAATAAAGGCTTTCCTCTCGTCTCTAATGAATAAAAATGCAGTTTCAATAATTTGATTTTGGGTGTTTGAATTTTGGGTGTGTGTATATGTGTGTGTGCAACTTCGACTACTTGAAACGATACACGTCTGCTGCTGCAGTGGTCTGAAATGACTTGTGGTGGGATAAAATTTGGGGGTATATTCCTTGGGTTCGGAAAGTGACAAAGCCTTATTAAAAGTCAAATGAATTGGTAGTTCTCATCTGAAATGTATCTTGTACAAAAAGGGTTTCGCTTCCGAATCCTGAGGGCTATCTCGGGGCCATGAGGAGGACTTTGTGTACGGAGCATTGTTGAAAGACCCTTCTAGCATGGCATGGCATGGCATATGAGGACAGCAGTATGCGTCGGGCTCTCTCTCTTTGTCGGGATCGGGGTCTATGGTGGGTATGCGTGTGTTTATGTATGTAGGTATGTACATGTATGTACAATGTGCAGTGCTTGGGATAGATGAATGGGTGAATAGGAGGAGGATTCAAGATAGGCGGTGCTACTTACTACGGTGGATAGGTTCTGTGGATTTTGTAATCTTACGAGATGGGGATTCGGGAGCCGATGGATGGATCATGGATTGATTGTGTGTAGGGAGTTTTTGGGATACAAGATAAGTAATTTCTCGAGGAGAGTTGGTAGTGGCATGCATCATTGCAGATACTGTATGTCTTGCTTGCTTGCTTTATTTTACTTGTTTATCTTGGTGCAAAGCTCATGGTCACTCGCTTGTTGAGTTTCTGTAGATACTATGGATATGTATGTGGATGTGGATGTGGATGTGTATGATATAAACAATTAATATCTATATCTATATGCTCGAAAAAAGCGAGGTGCAACGCAATACAATACAATACAACACAAATGCAATGCAATGCAATGCAATAGTGTACAAAGGCGCAAATTTTCCTTCCTCCCTTGCCCGCCCCTCCTTGTTTCCTTGCTCCGACTCGCTCTCTTGCGTCCTCCGGGGTATCATGAATATGTTATGCATTAAATGTGCATGTGTATATGTGGTGCGATCCGTCCCATCCATCAGCCAAACCTCCCTAAGCCCCTTGATTATAACACTATCATTTTGGATATGCTATGTCACCATATGCATTTTACTCATTAACATCAATCATATGCAGAGGGAGAAATGAAAACTCGGGAAATGGAAAGGAAGCATGAGAGAAATGTAGAAATGGAAATAATAGTATAGGAAGGAAATAAAAGATACAGGTGGGTAGGTGGTAATACAGGTGAGGAAATGTACTCGTACAGCTTGACAAAATGTAAAGAAATGGAAATTCCCGCCAGATGAAGAAGATGAAAAACGTGTATAGAAGGAAACCAGACATTAGGAAATTTGAAAAGAAATCCGTCATCATTACTCGAGGCATGACATGTGCCAGTCCGCTTCCTTCCTCAGATAGGAAGTGAAGAGATACCAAGAAACTTATCGCACAAGGTCGATTCAAAAGAATTGATCTAAGAAAGAAATGGAAAAGTAAAGGAAATGATCAAATGAAAATAAATGAACATGGGAAAGACGAGAAGAAAAAAACTTAGAACCACTTTCCTCTTCCGCTCTCATTGAGACGCTTCAAAACACAAATCGAATCAACGAGATTCATACAGTGGCCTCCAACACTATCGATCTCTAGTCTTGCGCGCACTGCATCGATGACAAAAGAGATTTCTCCCCGCATGGTCGCCTTGCCAGTCAGGAGATCTTTAACATCTAGCTTCACCATAGAACTGAGATACACGAGAGCTTTAAGTCGTACATCCCCCGAAGCTTCGGGAGAAGTGTCGAAGTCTAGTGCTGTAAAAGCACCGCTGATTCCGCTGATTCGGTGTCCAAATGCCCAGCAGATCAACGCGGCGATATTCAAAGACCAACAGTGAGAGAGGTCCGGAGAATGTTGCATTGTGTTATTATTGGAAGATGGAACGTATGGCGCTGAAAACTCGGAGAGTAAGATGTGACAAGCATAATGTGTGGCGGTGGCTGCTGCTAGAGACGATGACCAAGTTTTCAGGCGTGACTGTGCTTCGCGGAAATGGGTTTGATTCGTGATTTTTTGAGAAAACACCCAGGTGTTCCCGCTCACAGCCAAAAGGTCGCGCAGTGGCGTATGGTACAACGCGATATAGGTATATGCCATGGCAGATGCTGAAGATAATGTTACAAGTTCGAGTATTGTAGGATAGATATTGTGTATTTGATAATCGTTTGGATAGTGATGGTCAGGATCGACACGGTTGGGAAGTTGAGATGTCAAGAAACACACATTGAGTGACTGAGCAAAATGTGAAGGCTCAGCACAGTTTTCTTGGGTGTACTGATGTTGTACGACATTAAGTGGTTGCCCTGCATTGCTTCCTGTCTTGTTGGTAGCCCAGTCAGCTGCATTAGTTGAATCCCATAGAACTTCCGAGCAGGGTGTGTATAGTATGTTGAGATCGAAATATGGTCTGGCTCGCTTTTGCTGGTGATACATGGCTTGTTGGATATCGAAAATAAAGCAGAGACATAGCAGGCGTTGTCGTGATTCGGTGTCGACCCAGAGCAACCAATTGCTTTGGATGTCTTGAGATCTAGTTCGTGTACTGAAGTGATTAGATAGAACATTAGAGGTGCTTATAGTAGTAGGAGTAGTGTTGGTATCGGAAATTGGTGAAGGGTTCGAGAGCTGCTAGACGTTAATGAATATATCTAAGATGGCCTTGGTAGCATCGACTCACTCTATTGTATGACTCTTCGAACTGGCGAGATAGGCGAACCGTAGTCTTTGTACCACGGAAACGAGTAAATATCTCTGTAAGTAATATTGCTTGCATTATTTGTATTGGCCATTCAAAGGCCACAGGAATTATGTTAGTACAGTAAGCGTTGAATTCCACGCCGTGATTTCGTGCTTCGGGATTTGTATGGTACTGGGTGCCGATGGCAGCCATTGCGAAGGTGAGTGCTAAATTTTGATTCTGTATGTATGTTCCTCGGTGAATTATTGGGAACAGCTTATCGAAATTGTTCCAATATAAAGAAAGATAGGTGTCGAGGTTAGAAGTTGCGGACTGGGAAGGAGATGAAATGACCGTTTCGATGTTCGTCAGTGTATCTAATTGCTGGGATCCCACCAGCTCCTTCGATCTTCTATCAAGGACTGCCAATCGGGGGTCGGATACTCGCGAAGGGGACGCTGGAAGAAAAGTCTGAGCCAAGTGTTTATTATATGTTGAGGTGTGAGGATTACCCACTGATTCCATATAATACCCCCCCAGATTATAAGCAGGCACATCAAGCAATTGACGAGATGGCGGTGACACTCTAGGGGGCGTGTAAGGTGCATCATAAGATTCCATCATTGTTTCGTAAGGTGGACTTCTAAGGTCTTGAGCTGTATTAGCCATGCCTATATTATAATATCATCAGTTCATGATTTGAAGATTGTGGTGAAATTCCATACCATGGGTCCACTGCGCGTTGGGAACCGGAACAGGCCATTCAGATGCCGTGACTAAGGATCCAGATCGACCTCTGTGCGCTATCCTCCCCGTGCGTGAGCTCTCTGAATATGTGCTATCGGAAGCCGATGAACACCAGGGTGAGTTGTCGTGCGTGTAAGATAAACTTGGCATATAAGGTTCTTCTGGAATGCGTAGAAGTGGTAGAGCATGAGGGGGGCCATAGGAATGAAATGAGGAGACTTCCTCAGTATATAACCCTTGGAAGCTGGAGTTCGTTGCCCGATAAGGGTCTTGCTCAGAAAAGTCTGGCATAGGTCGTACATTAAAGCTTGGGGTCATCTCAGCGTAGGTCCTATCTAAAGTCAGTCAAGCAGTCCCTGTAACTTGTCTGGATAAATGAATGAACGGCATAAATCAAGATATCTAAGCGGAAAATGTTATAAGAGTTGTGGTCAATCTTACCTAGATGGGACCGAACCAGGTGATGCCGTAGTGTACACATCTACATCAGTCACTTGAGCTTGACTGACAGACCCTCTATGAGAGCTTCCCGATGAAAAGTCAACAGGTTGGAAATTCCCCGTCATTGTATTGAAAGTCGGTGCTAGGGCAGAATGATCCGTTCCCGCTGAAGTTCTAGGTGTCATTGGATTTTCTGGAGACATCTGACCTAGGCCCATGGAGATTCCATGAGGAGTAGGTTCTAACTTTACAGGAGCACTCTCCGATGCGCTTGAGGAGGCCCTGCTTCTTGGGTCACTAGATTTGTATGCCTTCTCGCCTTGTGTCTCGCTTTATTTCATTAGCCATGTTCTCAAGCGGGAGAGGAGGAAACACACTGTCGATTGAGATGACGTGCAAGTAGGTCCGGACGATGAAATGTTCTCTCGCAGTCTTCAAAAGTACATGGATAGGCGGGTTTACCATGGCTGAGTTTGTGTCTTCTGTAATCGAAAATATCGAAAATTAGTCCATATTCTTCTTTCCTAAGCGTCCATTCCAACCCAAATTACCACTCATGACTACATGAATAGCTGTAACTACAGTATCTACATCTTGGCATGCGCAAAGAGTTTCTTCATGGCACAGTCA